CATGCAATAATACACGTTAATAAGAATCAATTAAGAGTTATATTTTAAGGCACCAAACCGTAAGTCCAATTTCAAATCTAAGCTCTATTCTTTTACAGTCAAAAGAAAAAAAAAATAATTGAAAAGATCATATTACCCCTATTTATCTCTCTCTATGTATCTATTATCCATCTATTTATTCACATGTCATCTATTTATCTACCTAATTTATCTATATGTCCATATCACCACCACAATCAATAACCACTGCCAGTTGTCGCCAGTGAGTTTTTGGTGTCAATATTGGGCAGACAATGATCTAGTGGCAATAGGAAGAAGAAAAAAAAAATGATACAAAATAATAATTTATTTTTCTTACTAAACAATTTTATTAATCATGTACTTATGTCCATAAAATACCAATCCTTAGACTTAATGTCACCAATAAACCATATATTTTAGAGGTTAAAATTACAATGCCACATTAACATCTAAACCTTCACATCTCTAAATTTAAAGAAATAGTTGGAAATGCACTTATATCAATTTCTAAAAGAAGATTAAAAAAAAAAAAAAAATTATTTTTCTAACACCACTTGCATAAATGGAAAATGTTTGAGATTTTTAAAAAAATTATACTTTGATCCACAATAATGTAATATAATAAGTTTTAACTTTTGATTTTTTACACGTTTATTTATATAGGATCCAACGTGACAATTTGTAGGTGGACAATGCCACTAACAGTATTAAAACAAATTTCAAAATTTCCTTACACCATAGAAAATAAGGGTGGTAATATACTTCATGTTTTAGTTTACGAGAATAATTTTGAAAAAAAATTATTCCTTATATATTTATTTAGAATGAATAATGCCATAATAATTGATAATTATTTTTTTATTTTATAAAATGGACTGGATTGTTTAGTCCAAAGAGAAGCCAAACCATTTGATACTATGCGCTATAATAGTAGGTTTCATTACTTTGAAATGTCTAGGCTCAAAAAGGCTGCATCCTTTGTATGAAATTCATTTTATACAAATTTGTTTGCTTGGATTAGGAAATTCAGTATAAAATGAATAAATTGAAAAAAAAAAAATGATTTTTGCACTCGTTTGTTTTAGTCCTTCACATTCCTCATAACTATTGCCACCAATTTCGCCCCTTATATCAAAACAAGTGTTATAAATTAAGCTTAATGCGACGTTGGCAGAAATACTATCTAAATGTTGGATCTTATATTTGGGACTTTGATTGAAAATTTAGAGTTTCACCCCAAATATAGGGTTTGGGTGTAGGCGATTTGATTCAAAAATCATACTCCAAATAAAACAATTCTTATTCTCAAAAAGTCATTTTCTATGGAAAACAAATATAAAAAATCAAGACATACTAATATGGTTTTGGTATGCATATCAGCTTAAAAGAATACTAGCTTTAAACTTCTTGCTTTTGAAAATATATGAGTTTTAAACTTCATGTTGCAATGACTTTTATTTGGTCTATAATTAGATTTGAAGTTTCACTATCATGAGTAGGGAATATGTCCGATTTGTCGAGCCGAATTTCAAATTTTAACTCAACCATCGTTCCTTTCTTCCAAATACCATCCTTCAACTATCATTTTTTTCAGCCACTATTCTTTAAACTATCATTTGATCATCTCCCGACCATTATTTTAACTACTATTCTTTGACAACAAATTATAAATAATTGAATCTTGAATGATACACAACCAAGTAATGTAAATTGTCACATTTTCATCATGAGTGTATGATTTTCTCTTCTTTGTTTTTTGGTGAGAAACTTCAATATTTTCTATGTAAATGAAAGTGTGAGAATAGATAAATCATGTTTGCAATTTGCCAATAAAATAATACTAGGTGTATAGAATTAGAACACATAAAATGTACAAAAATACATCAAGTAATTAAAATTGATTTTAACTATAACTCCCATCACATTTGTAATGAATTTTAGATACACAATCTATAAACTTGCACTTTTTATATTCTACTTATATACACAATAAATATTGAATATAACGATGATAACACGTGATAGTATCATAGTCTAATGAGCAATCTCAATTTATAGTAGGAATCACAACATTGTTGGGTCAGTGATAGATGAAACTTTCCACTTAATCTCATTTACAATTTTTTATTGGCCTGTAACACAATGTAAGATTGTATAATCATTACACAATATTTTCTCCATGTACATATAGCATTATTGATTTCCCAAACTATGTTTTTAAATGCTAGCCATTGGTCTATGTGGTAAGATTTATGTTTTAGTAGCTCTATTAGAGTTGCTCCAATGAAATGCGAAAGGACCTACCAAATGACATAAACCCTTCTCTCTCTCTCTCCTTGTAAAACTTCCAAATATCATGTTGAGACTTCACATTTTCCCAAAACTCACTTTGATTATTCAATTTGACAAATTAGCATCGAAGATGTCGGAATACATCTATTTTGAAATGATCTTAATGTGATAGGTAAATCATTTTTTTTAAAAACTCAACAGAGGAGGAATAGAGGGAAAAAAGGTTACATAGCACAGAATACTCAAATGACACATTTGATAAGGAAACCTCTCATCTACTAAGCCAACCACTTGGTCTTATCCAGTAGGTAAATTAAGGGGTTCTTTATAATGTTCTAAATAAGTGTAATTTTTGTCTTTTTAAACTAAAAAGTTAAAGAAAAAAATATAGATGTTTGAGTTAATTTTGTCTTTTTACGAAAAAATGTGTAGTAAAAAATTATATAAATAAAGTGTATAGAGAAATAAAGTTGAGTAGGTTGTACGGCTGTCCTATTGGGGGTAGTGTGTCTTACACAGCAAATTATTGCCTCATTTGGGCAAAGTGTTTGGACAGTGATTGTTTTTTAATAATTTGAACCGTTCAATATGTACAACTTGTTGAGTATTATATTCCTGTAAAAAATTACGTTGATCGGATATTGATAGTTATATGATCGGATTAGTTTTTGTTCAACAGTTAACTATCACACCATCTGTTTTGTTTATACAAAACTGATTTGATCATATAATTAACACTATCCGATCAACGTGATTTTTTACAGGCATATAACACTCGACGAGTTCTACATATTGAACGGTTTGGATAATCAAAACGGAACTCTTAGTGGACCCATAAGGGTCCAACATTACCATCAAACTTTGTGGCTTTACATATATAATTTTTTTTTTTTTTTGCCCAAAAAGTGTATGACCTGGCTTCCCAGCTGGGGCAGTACGACTGACAGTGTAATTCAAACGTTTGTATCACAAAAATGTATAAAATATTTTTTAATATTTTTAATTTGTGAACAATAATGACTTTTTTACTTTTTGTGTAACTTTTTGACTCTTTGAATTTTTTGAGTCTGGCCAAACCAGGCCTCATTATGGATAAAATTAAAGTTTTTAGGATTTTGAAGGGTTTGGGTGTTGCATATGAAAACAATGGACAAATAAACTTTAAAAAGAAATGATATGTACCTAATTTTTTACCTAATATTTTACACACACACTCAAGTGAACCGACAACCAGATGACTGTGTGTAAATTATTAAATAGAAAATTAAGTACTTCTAGCATTGCTTGCTAAGGGTGATGAATATTTAGACCTTTAAACAAAAGAGACAAGTCAATCAACAAGGAAATGCTGCAATGTGCACCTCAAAAGGGTGCATATAGTATACACTTCATAACTCTTTTTATAAATTTTTATAACATAAACCATAAAATGTCACAACTTTTCTCATTACAAAATATCATAACAAAAACTACAAAGTGTTATAACAAAAATTATAAGTGTCATAAGTTCACCATTCATAATTTTTGGATGCACACCGTAAGTTCACTATCCGTAACTTCATCACAAAGTATGATAGCACACATCACAAACATTTGTAACTTTCATTATAGAAAATCATAACTTCTATATTATGTACATTTTTTTTGGGTGCACATTATAGATTTCTCCCAATCAGTGAGATCTAAATTTTGGAACAAACAAAACCACTTTGGTATTTTCTCTTATTTGGTACAGATAATCGTAAGTTAGGGTTGATAATCAAAACAGAAAAGGTAAAAACATCCCTTCCCCTACTAATAATCAGTTTTTTCTCAACTTACTGAAATTACAAACACTCTAACACAAACCCCAAAATTAATTTAAAAAAATAAAATAAAATAAAAAAGAAGGTCAAGACCTGAAAGTGAGTACTCTCTTATTTATCCCAAGCTCAAACTTAAATAAACAAAAACTGAAGAAAAAGACATCTAGAAATAATAAAAACAGTGACCCCATAATCAAAACACAACAAAGAGTGAAGAGTTTTAGAAAAGAACCAATCATACATGACATTACTTCTTCACTTTCTTAAAATTGGAAAATAATACAGAAACTGTGAGTTAGCTAACAACTTATTTCTAGGTAATTATGATGGGCAAAAGATCAACTTTTACCGATTATCTGACTTTTCTGTACAAAATCTATTTAAATTATGCAGAAATCACATTTACATGATAATAATTTAAGAAAGAGAGCAACTCTATATATAGAAATAATGAAATTGAATACCTACAAAATACACAAGCTCTGTAATGGGTAATAAATCATACAATCTAGAATTTTCAAGCAATACAAAAAGATCAATCTGCATCTCAATATGAGAGGAATGATAAAGTAGACACCTCACTAGTATGTTCCAATCAAAATTATGAGAATAAACAAGAGAAACTTAAAGACTTGAAAACTACATCAATTTATGAAGTCAATTATGAAGTTTGAATTTAATTTTCTAAAGCCATGAACATACAACCCAGAATTTGACCTAGTTTGTACATAAAATTGCCATCACCACATAAACAGGATACTAACTAAGGAAACAGATATATGGGTTCAACAGATTGTTAGGAAATACTATAGTAGCCAGATCATCCCCATTGATTGGATGTAAAACAACCATATGGAATATATTTATACATATATATATATATATATGGGTTTAACATATTTTTACAGGATTTTAGTTCAGTGAAAAAATCAAAATATCATCCAGCAGCTATTCCAGCCACTAAAAATGAAAATCACAAAGGCACAAAAAAAGGTCAAGCCATTGAATCACAATATTACCAGAAAATCGTTACACAATGCTGAGAAATATGATAGCAGAACAGTATATCCCAACATGTAAAAGTATTGGCCAATTCACTGTTTGAAACCATTGAAAAGGAAAATTTGGGATGCTCTCTTGGACAGTGCTTGCCACCTTTGTCAATCAACCTATATTGTGAGGAAAACCTGGACTTGAACTGCATGCGATGAACAATTTTCACCATATTCTTTTCCGCAAATAAGTATGCAAAAAAATAAAAAATAAAAAATAAAAAATAGAAAAACACACAAAGAGCCACAATATGTTGTCTTCTTATATCCTGACGCAAGACAAATGAAATCAAAAAGACAAAAATGATTGCATATATCAACAATTAAAAAAGTCATTTTTTTCCCGAACTTTTTTGTCTTTTACTTTCTTTCCTTTTTTTTTTTTTTTAATTTGTGTCAAAAGTTTTTACTTTTCATGTCTGGCTAGTCTAAAAGAATTTTTTTTTAAAAAAAATTCAAAAAATGGTTCACTATAGACACACCAAATAAATTTTTATTAAAAAGTCAACCTTTTTAGCTTTTCTTGTCTTCAATGTACTTTTTAAAATATATACATATTTATATTTTTAAGGTCCGTCTAGTCTAGTAGAAATTAAAGTTCAATTACTTGAAAGAAAAGGATGAAAAGGAAATCTATACCACGAATTCAGAAGAATGAGAGTTATGTTAAATTATGTTGCTAAACGTACAGAAAGAATTGGTTTCCCACTATTTCAGCATGCCTTTGGAAGCTGATTGTAGGGAAGGTGACGTCTGAGTCTTAAGGTCAGTCAAAAATGGGGTGTCTACAGAATTACAATCTCTCTATCTTTCTGTTTTTCCTCTTTGATGTGCATGTTCAACACTTCATCAATGGCATCACAGGACAGAGACACATTTGAGTAGATCTATTGCATATTCAATAGCTTAAACATGCAATTAACAAATGATCTTCCTTGAAGAAAATTAACCTCATCAAATTTCTTTTCCCCTCACCTCTTAAAGTTTGAATGGTATCTTACTACAATACAAAAGAGGTACCAGGAACCATATATACATACATCTCTTTGTTTGTTTCTCCAATATCTGCTTACTTGTGTTGCATCACTCTCTTTTTCATCTAATTCGTCCTTTGTTGTTCTCATCATCTAATAAAATGCATGATAACTCTTTTCTCCTCACCAGGCAGACAGGTCGGATTTCAATATTTGATCTTTCACAACAATTAGACAAATATTTAATTTCAAAGAAACCAATTGAATGTGCTTAGGACATCTAACATGCATACCAATTGAAGTTTCTACAATCAACAACAAAACTTTCCCAAAAAGAACACAAAAACAAGTTCCATCGTTGTTAACTTTTCCCACATAATAATATTTCATAAGGTCAGGAGCATTTGCAAAGTTTGATTAATTCAAAAACTCTTTGGCCAGCCTTACCAAGAGAGGCTTGTGAATATCTAAACATTTTTGGTCCATACAAATATCTAGAACTGAGTTTGCTTACGGCCATACAAACATTAATTTGCAAGGAATGCTAAAACTCGGAAATTTGAAAAGACCTGTACTAGAACCATACGTGACAGTTTCAGCAGATCTATCAAATTCAATCTGTTGATTACTGAAGAGATGAATTCCCTTAGCTCTTTCATATGCAAGCAACAAATTACTTACAAGATGATGAGTTAGGATGAATAAACGATTAGCCATTCATGGAAAAGGATTGAGCTTTAAATGATGGGGACATGGAAGAGGGAATGTATTTGTTTATAGAATTAACAATGATGAGAAGGAGGAGACAGTGATTGTGGTAGTGGTGGTGGTGGTGGTGGTGATATCATGATCCAATGAACTAAGCCATCGAAGGTAATGATTCAACAAAAATATCACCCTTCTCAAAAAGTGGATGGATGTTAAGTAACTAACATTCACTAGAAATGTCATCTTTGTTCTATTAATTTAAAAGCCAATCTAATTGGCCAATAGACAATTCCTCAGTAATTCATAGAATGTCTAGAATAATTTGAAGAACCAAAAAAGTGGACCAATTTATTTTATCAAAAGCAGCTCATATTCTATGGGCTTTCTATTCTATGAAACTCATGACGAAAGAATCGTAATAACTTTAAGTTACAACGATTGAGTTTGTTGTGTGTACTCTAAATCAAGTATATTTGGGTTTCAAATTGCTCAAGTTGCCACCTTGGCAAAAGGAAAGAACGATGAAGAACATGTGGTAGATGAAGTTGGATCAACAAAAGTCAAAGAAAATGCCATTTTGATGACCAGGAGCAGAAAAATAATTTTGGCTGATGAGCCTGGAGTTGCTTCAAATTTGGTAGACTGGTTGGAAATGGACCACAGAGCAAAACTCGGCTGCACCATGACCAAAGCCACTGACTGCGCCATGAGTCATGACCAAAGCTGCATTTCAGCAGGTTCCAACATTTTGAGTCTCAGAATTCGTATTCTACTATTTTAAAAAGGTTTTGTTTTGCTAATAACTTTGTATAAAAATGTCTGTTTTCGTGCTGCTTGTGTTTCTAATACTTTATAGTATCCAAATTTGGCCTTAACTCCAATTTGTTGGTTTTAGTAACTTTATGTTTCCTTCTATCATTTCATGTTTTGCAAGGAATTAGCCTAGTTGGTTATTTCCTAGTCAAATAGGATTACTTTTGGTTAGAAATAAGGATGTAAGCCTTAGGGCAATAGAGCTTTGATCAATAATATTCAGTCTTTCACTTGGAGAGTTTTTCCCCTTCTGGATTCAAGGTTCTCTCTTGGATTGAGACTCTTCATCGAGTGGAACGATATCTAGTTTCTGCGTATATTCCTCTGCATCAAGGAGTTACTTAAGTCCTCTTCAATAAGGTTCATGAACAAAAACTATACTTGACTTCATTGTAAGCAATATACATAAACTGGAATTAATATCAACTTTTACAAAGATTGACCGAAGAGTTAACTCCCATGTACCTTAAAACTGGAAGAGAAAGAGAGATTTTGAATAAGAAGCCAAGAAGAATTAACACATTTTAGTAATAATACACATATATAGTTCCTGCATAACATTGTCAACATTGAATCACATTTATAAGTTCAAGCTAATTTATAGGGTTCTGGCAAGATTTGATGTCAATGTGAACACTTAAATACTCGAACAGCAGTATTATTTTTTCATTGTACTAAAATATATAATCCGGTATGAACATCAACTGAGTTGCAAACACCAGACATGAACCAAGGCACTCCAAATCAAGGTTTACAGGAACCTTGGCTTAAGGTTAAAATTCAATTACTTATAAATATGAGTCATACGAACATTGCTGATTAGATTTAGGCTCATCAAAAGGTTCAGTGATTATCACAAATTTGTCATAATTCACCAGTAGAGTCTGTGTTCAGGTTCATATAAAATCTCTTCTTCCAAATGAAATAGAAGCATGCGCAATAAAGCAATAGGTCATAGGAACTTAACAGTGCAAAACCTCAAGGGGTTAGCCTAGTGAGCAAAACTTGGGGCTTGGGGTGCTCCCTCCAAGTCTCAGGTTCCCATTAGTAGCAATAAGCTCATTGGGGCCATGTCGATACTGGTGTTTGCCCTAACTTTGAATGGGGCCCCCTCAAGTAGGCGGTGGGATTGGTCTCCTGAGATTATTCGAGGTGGGCGTGAGCTGACCCGGACATCCGATTATAAAAAATAAAAAACTTAACAGTGCAACTAGAAAATTAGTCTGCATCAATTATTCTTCCTAATAGTAATTCAATCAACCATGCAAGTACATGACAACATCAAACAAACATCAAACAGAAAATGAACAATTGTAATAAAATAAATAAATAAACTGCACTAAATGTTTACACCAAACATCAAACTATACCCAGTTGAAAAATCCTCAAGTCAACAGAAGGAATCATTTATGCATCAACACTCAGCATATCGCCAATATTCATCCGGATAATTGAAATTCAAATCATTAAGCACACAACTATTTAGATGAGATAAATACATTAAAGGGGGGAAAAAAAAAAGATCAAACACTAACCAGCAAATTCACAAGGACAAACCAGAGAATTGGCTTAATTTCACTGTACAATTCTTGAATCACCCAATATGAGAAGGACCCATATCACCAGTTCGAAGAGATCCAGCGATCTCATCAGCAACAGTCAAGCATGATGTGATCCAACCACTCAGGGCCAACCACACCATCCTTGCCATCCAAAGGGTCATCCCCCATGGCACTGCCATGGTCTCTACCTTTTCTTCACCAAATCTTGAAATTTCTTGCTCAGACTGAACAAGTAATCAAGACCCAGTACCCCTTTTCCTGATTCAAACAAAACCCATTTCAGGAATTTTTAAAATATATGGGAATACAGACGCATACATATGTATATTTTCTTGAAGAAATCGGATGTGATTGGGGATTTTGAGATACCTTGTTTTAGTGAATCTTCTAGGAAGATGATCGAGCAGAAGGGATAGATAAGTTTTTTCTCTCCGTAGTTTTCAAGGTATTAGCTCTGAAGTCGGACGTGATGTAACTGCAAAGTACAACCATCAAGTATCAAATGTGGAATTTCCTTTCGTATCGAAAAATCAAAAAGACAAAAAGAAAAGAAGAATATTTTTTCTTTGCATACAAATAAGGGGTAATTGCAGCGGAAAATGTTTGAGGATTATAATTTTTATGGTTATAATGGTTTAAAATTGTTAAAATGATATTGTTTTAGCATGTTTTACATCTAAAATGACGTTATTTTGATAATTTTAAGCCATTGTGGTCACAAAAATTATGACCCTCTAGCATTATTGAATTGCAGCCCACTGTAATGATGAAAAAAAATAATTATATTCATGAATAGATTTATAATTTTAATTATTAATATTTATAAAAAAAAATATTTCTTTGTAATTATTTTTTTAAATTCCACTGATTTGATATTTCTCTTAAAAATAATAACGCAAATTATAAATATACTCTCTAAAATTTAATTAAAATATATATTATTCTGTATAATTTTGAAAATTATAAATACCCTTTTGTCAAAAAAATTTGTTTAACATAATTAACATAAAAATTAAAATTTCTAATTACCCTCATGTACAATCATAAAATTATCAGAATTATTAATTAAAATATATTTCTGCCATCGTTAAAAACTATTTATTGACTTAATAATTGATTAATCAAATGGGTCATTTGTTATGAAATTAGAAATTTGAAAGAGTAAGTTGTAATTTCGAAAATGACAGGAGCAATTTGTATTTTTAAAAAATCTCAAGGGATGTATTTATAATTTAACCAAAACAATACGAGCAATAAAGACTAAAAACAAGTCGAGTCAAATTGAGTAATAGGTCGTTCAAGTTTTTTTTGATAACTTAACAACTTTAAAATTATGTTAAACAATAAGACGATCTCGAATGAGCTCTTAATGAGCTGAACACGAGTCGAATTCAAATAGTTTGATTTTTCTTATAGTGTATATAAGCTTTATCGAGCTGAATAATAAGTTGTTCAAGTTTGAATTAAAAACTTAACATGTTGAAAATTGTATTTAAATTTAACTTATTTACATAACAAGTCAATCTCGAATAAATTTTTAACGAGTAGAAAATGAATCGAACGTGAGTAGCTTGATTCGTTTGATAGTCCAATAATCAATTCAGTCTTTATTACAGCCATCTAATTTGTGTAATAGTTACTAATTTATAATTTTTTACAATACTAATTTGTATAATAGTTACAATGGTATATTTGGTAATGTCTATTTTTATGATACATTTATAATTTTTTATTTATATTCATAAAACTTATAAATAAAAAATTGTTTGATATTTATTTTTATTTACAAAAATTTGTAAACAATTTATTAAATTATTATAATTACAAAAAATTAATTTCGAAAAAAAAATCATTTATTCATTACCACTACTTGTGGCCACATCTAACCACCCGCATCTCTAACCACTATCGCTAATGACATCCTCAGACAATTAGTTTCGGCCATCATCTCTCACTAATGATAAACCACTTTTGGTTTCCAACAAACACCTCCCACCGACAACAACACCATTGCCCACCATTTCTTACTAGAAATTACCTTTGGCCCAGTTATTACATCCAACCATCATATTTGACCGTCGACAATCATCTTTAGTCACCCTTACACTTGTTTTCAAAATAAGTACATATATACCAAACATATTTTATTTTTTTTTATTAAAAATAAAAATAAGTATGGTTAATATTTTGTGTAAATTAAAAATGATAAGATATAAGCATTACTGAATAATACCTAACATTCCAAAGCACTAAATCCAAGAAGTGAACTTACTTGGGGAATTAAAAACTAGATTGTTGACTAATAAAAATAAGCTTATAAAATATTACAAAAATGCTATATTTACCATATTTTATTATATAAAATGTACACTTCATTTAGTATGAATGTTGTCACATTTTTTTTTTCAAAAATGACCTTCACATCCATTAACTATTATGGGGACGTATTTTTAAGGTCACACCATGTGGCCAAGGTGTTGGCCGAGGTGCCATGTGGACAAGCCATGGTACCGAGGTTGCTGTGATATTGCCGAGATATGATGCGGTAATATCGGAACCGGACATATTTGGATAGAGGACAAGAGTCCTAAATAAGTTGAGGCGCTTAGTACGGATAGAGACGAGGCTCTTGATTGGGATCATTCTTATCTAACTGAGAGTCTGAGATAAATGTTATACTTGAGTCCTGTGAAGTAAGACTTCTAGGGGACGAGGGCACTAATCATTATAAAAGTAAGACACCCCCGTATGTCTAAGGTATGCATTTTACTTGTGCAATATTACTTGAGTTGATATCTTGTGAGATAAGTTACTGACTTGATCATCGGAGTGCCCCCGGGTGAACAAGCTACTGGGGTATTTCTTATCTTCTTGTGCGTAGTTGCTGGCTTAATCTATTTTCCATGTGCTCTCCAGCTGAGTTCCTTAGATCTCAACAAGGAGATCTGTTTGGTTGTGAGGTCAAAAATTAACACCCACAATTTGACGCCGTCTGTGGGAACTTAGTAAGAATAGATGGCCAATGCCAGACAAAAGAGAAGAGTCAGGGATGACATGCATGGTGAGGATGAGGAATACATCGATCTAAACGTCGAAGGAGAAAAAAATGAAGAAGAAGTACAAAAAGTGAATCCGGAAGCGAACCATGTTGCCAAGGGCTGAAATGGCCCAAGGAAAGGGAACCGAGAAGAGTACTACAATGAGAGCAATCTCCAGGTCTGGAAGGACCAATGCATATGGAGGGATGACGAGATGAAGGACTTAGCAACCCAGTTGACGGACTTGCAAACCGTGGTGAAATTCATGATGCAGAACAAGGTAATGCATCCAACGTTGCCATTACCAGCAACACCGACACCAGCTGCAAACCCCAATGCCTAGAAGGGAGAACAGACAATGGTGCTGACCATCCTGCAGCACAGAAAGAGACTTAAAACTTCAAATCGATGACCGCAGAACACTGGACGGACAGAATCATGGTGGGGAGATTCTCAGAGAACCAAAGGGACGCAGATCAGGGGATCTCGACAAATCAACGGACAAGGCCTTTGCCTTGACGAGATAGTGAATGTAGAGAAATACAAAAGGAAGCATCCTAACACGGGGAATAACGCGCCAAAAAGGTTAAAGTCGATCGACAGTCGAGCCTCGGGGCAGATGAAGGAGGACTTGCGGGATTACCTTTACAGAAAGAGAAACGGTGCTGAGGTAGTGTCCACAGCGCAACCAAGGTCGCCGTTGTAACATGCCTGCAGGGCACCCATGTGTGTTAAACAGTTCGGACCCTCGATTTCTTTGATCTAGTCTCACGAGTGCAATGTAAAACATAGATGAGAGTCCAGATTTGGCAATTTTTATAGAAAATCCATTTTATTACAAAATCTTTGCCAAAAATGGACTGCATCATCAGATTTTAGAGTCACCACCTAATATTTTGGAAAAATTAGGAAACCTGTGACTCGTGCCAAGGCCACTGTTCATCGTAACCAAAGATGTTTGACTCGGAATCTTAGGAATGATAGGGGAATGCCATTAATTGAGCACTCCCGCTCACCCCGATCAAAGATCAGCCTCTACTAAACCATGATATGAGTTTTATTAACGTTATATGTTCATATTCGGTTTATTTAATAAATCCTAAAATTTACTATGTGAAGCACATAAGTATATACTATGTCATTCATTTTGGAGTAATTTCATTTCATGTGTTTTGAAAGAGTTTTGAACATGTAAAACCCAAAGAAATTGAGTTGACAAACATAAAAATCAACATCATTCCAAATTAAGCGACATAACCTTCATCTACCAGCATTCATACAGTTATTTCAAATAAGCACATAACCTTATGGTAAAATGCTAACATAGTGTAACATCGCTCAGGGGTGACCTGCATACGTTGAACAGTTCGGACCCTTGATTTCTATGATCTAGTCTCACGGGTGTAATGTGAAATGTAGATAAGAGTCTAAATCTGTCAATTTTTATAGAAAATTTATTTTATTGCAAAACCTTTGCTAGAAATGGATTACATCACTACATCTTAGAGCCGCCATCTAATATTTTGGAAAAATTAAGAAACCTATGACTGATGCCAAGGCCACTAATCGTTGTAACTAAAGATGCTTGGCTTGGAACCTTAGGTATGAGAGGAAAATGTCATTAATTGAGCAGTCTCACTCACCCAATTAAAGATCGGCCTCTACTAAATCATGACATGAATTTTTATTTACGTTATATGTTCATATTCTGATTTATTTAATAAATCCTACAATTTACTATGTGAAGCGTACAAGTATAGACCATGTCATTTATTTTAGAACAATTTGATTTCATGTATTCTGAAAGAGTTTTGAAGATGTGCAACTCAAAGAAATTGAGTTTACAAACATGGAAATCAATATCATTCCAAATTAAGAGACACAACCTCCATCCACAAGCATTCATAGAGTTATATCAAATAAGCAAATAGCCTCATAGTAGAATGCCAAACATAGTAAGGAAAACACACAAAAGCGGGATGGTAAAGTATAAAAACTTACATATTTACCGACGTCTCGCGAACAGTTACAAAACAAAGTTAAAAAAATATGCATGATCTTATATATAAAATCCTAATACAATTCACTCATCAAATGCAACTAAAGAGTTGGCTTCTAATATATGACATGTGAATCATTTCAAGAATATGAGGTCGCGTACATAATCACATAAGAATTAATTAAATTCATAGATGCAAATTTAGCCGAATCAATATGCATGAAACATGGATGCAAAGAATGAATATGATGCTTATTTACAAATATGAAAAATGAGTAAATGAAAGGGATAAAAAAAAAGCGGGGGCACAGAATTATTACAACACTAAATAAAAGACGTAAGGTATGAATTATTATAACAAACGACTATATAATTCAAACATAAGCTAAATATAACAAATCAAATATAATAATAATAATAATAAATACATACATATATTTGAGAGAAGTGTGTGTAGTGATTTCATCCACCACTGCACGGAAAACATATCTTA